CACTAATCAATTAATTAGTTAATTAATTAGTTAACTAATTAATTTTTTACAACTCAATTAATTATTTAATAAATTAATTTAATCAATCCTTTTTTTGTTTAATTGAATAATCAATAAATTTTTGCTATCTTTTTTCGAACTATCATTATTATCTACTATACTTTACTCCTTTACTGTAATGAAACTATCCTCAAAGTCATATTATCACTTATGCATATTTAGTTCTTAATCAAAGCAATATCGACTTATAACAAAATAGTTACACAAAATATTATTAAAATGTTTAAAGAATAAAAATTCTCAATGATAATAAATCTAAAGCATAAAATTTCAAGTATGCTGCTTGAATTTTTCTGCTTCACATTTATTATTATGCTAATTTAATTACAAATTATGCATGCAAGATTATTATTGCAATAGCAAAAAGAAGAATAATATTTATAAAACATTATTTTGATATGGAATAAAATTTTTAATGATAATAAGGTTAATTTGATTAAGAGTTTAATTTTTGTAATCTCATAAGTAAGTATATTTGAAATTAAGGTGACATTTTAACTCCTATTGAAGAATTTATCTAACTTTAGTTCTTTTCTAAAGTTAACTGTAATTGTAATTGTAAGCATAGCATAAAAGTTAATCGTATAAAAGTAATTTTGTATACACTTTTTAACTTTCAAAAGTAAACGTTTTACTCAGACTTGAAAGGAAAGTTATCAGAAGAATAACATATGAGAGCACGGAATACTCGTTGTCATTTCAACCCGTACCATTCTCGCAATCAACAAACTTCGTTCTCGTTCGTAATTTTCATCGTTTCGCTGATTAAAACCGAAGGTTACACTAAACTACTCATTGCTCTGTAATAGCTTTTTACCCAAACTTCGCCGCCATTTCTCATTTTATACCTAAAATTCTCATATGCAAATTTTTTAAATTTTTATTATTTTAAACTTTTATTAATAATTTTGATAAATATTTATATTATATTATTATTCACAAAAAACAAAAAAATTGCTTCTAATGGATTAAAATGTTTATAATTTTATTCATTGCATTTTGTACAATTCAGTGATTCTTTCAAATTTTTATTTGCAAGATAAACTAATTTTGCCTTATTGATTTTATGCATTTTCATTTTTGTTTTCTATGATTTTAAATGATTTAAAAATTGATAAATTATTAGAAAGTTATTTAGTTCTATTTTATAAACAAGTTTAGTAGTGCAAGACTTGTTTGTCTTCAAGTATAGTATTAGTTTGCTTTTAAATGTAGTAATATCAAGTGATAATTAAGTCAAACGATTATTTATTACTTTATTATTTGAATACTAAGTATTAAATCTGTGTTAGTGCTTAGTCTTTACTTGACTTATAATATGACTTGCTAAGTTTAATCACAAAGTAAAAAATAAAATAGCACATTCTTGAAAAAAGTAAATTACTCTAAAAAATAATACATTTCGGAAGAAAGGTAAACTTTATTTTATTTATTCTTTCTGTAACAATTTCTTCTGCAAAAAAAGAAAAAAAACTTTACATAAAATACAAATATTACACTTAATGACTGATAATTTAAGCGCATTTTTGTATCAATTACTTAGCTATTTCAGACTTTACAATGGCGCTATTACTTACGTTAAATTAGTAAGAGAGTAAACTTTTACGTAGCATACTTTAGCTGCAATTTGCAACTCGAAAATTCTATAAAAAGTTGCTCAAATAGACGTAAAAGTTTGTTGATGAAAATCTTAAATTTCAAATGTAAATAAAATTGTTTTCAATTTTTGTTCTCATACAAATTCTTACATATAAAGTAATAAGCTTTTGTAAAAAAAAAAAGCAGAAAATATTCGCATAAATGAGTAGATAAATGAATATCTTTGTTTTTTAGATTGCATTTTTGCACCAAAAACTGATTTCCATCGATAATCATCGATAATACCTGAAACAAGTTTGATCAGTTTGGTATGCAATAAAATGTTTTGTTAGTTGGAGCTGTGAATGATTGTAATAAGCAAAAATTATCAAAAAATTTTATCGTTTATTCATTGGGATAAAAATTTTGAAAATAATAGCATATTTTTAGTATTTTTGGTTTATTCAAAAAAAACCAAGTTGTGGGCAAGTCATTTGAATACCATTTTTCATCAACAATTACCACTTAATCATTTCTTTCTTCACATCCAATTTCTCATAAAATTTTTCAAATTTGTCATGAAATTCGTTTTATTTTATATTTTTCACTTTAAACTTATTTTTGCTTTAGCTTCACAAAAATCTCTCATTTTCAACGTTTTTTTAACGAGTAATAAAAGGTATATCATAAATATTATAATAATTCTTATCTGTTGCTTATTGAATGATTGAAAATCTATGAACACATTAAAAAATAAAATAAAATTCTATAATAGAATAAAAAATAATAACATTCATAAAATGATGAATAAAAATATCTATAATCGTAATTATTTAATATTTAGGATTTTTCTATGCATTTTAACTTTACAAAATTAATTTTCTGCACATCAATTATTGGGATTACAATTGCGACGAATAAATTTGCATATATTTGCATATATTTTAGTACGAATAAATTCTTCACAAAGTTTTTTTAAGTAAAATAAAAAAATTAAGAAAAAACTGTTGCGTATTTTGAAAACATTCACACTTCGACGTACAAAAATTAAGAGTTGCATCGTCAAGTTTTCATATTTGCTTATTAGCAAATTGTGCAACTAATATTTCTTGTAAGCTTATTCAAAAACACGTCTTTTTTCGCAAAAGTACATAGAATTACAACAACAAAAATGAAAATTTGCAAAAAAGTTGCGCTTATTTTTAACATTTTGAAGAGTAATGTGTATTCTATCTGTGCTAAGTTGACTCAGAATTAAGTTGCACAGTAAAAAACGCTTTTCTCGAAGATTACATTTTGTACAAATTTTATATCACTTCAGAATCCATTCACTCA